GTGCGGGCCACGAGGAAGACCTGGAGGGGCGGCCTCTGCCGCCAGCCCGGGTGACAGTCCTGGGTGGTGGCGGATGGGGCCGTCCTTCCCTTACCACTCAGAGAGACGGCAGGACTGTCCCTCGGAGAGTGTGTGGAGTCCGCCGGCGCGTGTGCCTTCTGCTTCAGGGCACGGAGCATTTCAACAAGCCTCTCTGTGTCTATGAGAAAAGCAGCCTGGAATTAACGAGGCAGGTGCACCGTCTGAGCGAGAAGGCAAGTGGGATTCTGGCCCGCTTTGCTGGCAGGTGCGCGCACTTAAACCAAGAAAAGCCACGCCAGCGCCGCGGGACAAGTGCGTGCCTGCAAGGAGCCCAGAGTCCTCTCGGCTTTCACTGCAGAACGTTTCGGACGCCTTCCAGAGAGCTGTGCGCGACGATTACAGCTGGGTGAGCATCTTGTCACCACGGTCTTCTGCAGTGACTTCCAAGAGGAGACAGAAAGGCAGCCCCGGCCCTGCGCCTGGCCTCGGCAGCCCGCGCTCCTCTCGCACCACTCCTAGCACCAGGGTACAATCCTGGGCTCACAGTCCTTTCCTGGAGCGTGCCGTGGACCGCAGATGTCCGTGCCGTGGACTCCGGCCTCAGCGGTGTTTCTCGCTGGCTCTGAAACTCAGGTGGCCACACTGCCATGGGTTCTTCTAGGTGGTCAGCCAGGTAAAAAGATGCTCTTTTGCCAACAAAACTACACATTTCTAGGGATTTGTGCTGGCAAGCGGGGCGCCACTAGCTCTCGAAAGGAACGAAGACTCAGCTTCTGCACAGAAAAGCTGCTGTGCCCCGGTAAGGACACTGCTGAGCGACGACAAGACCGAGGGCGCTTTCAGCTTGCCTTCTCCTTCTCCCAGAGGGGCTGGGCGCTGGGGGCTGGGGGCTGCGACGGGACGGGGGCACGAGGAGGGTGCCGCCCGCATGTGCAGGCAGGCTCAGGGAGCCTACAAACGTGTGCAGCTGCACTGTGGGCGGCTCTGGCACGGCGCAGGTGGCCGGTAGGCCTGGAAGCAGCACCCAGGGCCAGCTATCTACTCAGCGTGGGCTGGCTCTGCCTGGCGGCACCCGGGTCTCCCCCACAAGGACATGCAGCCCAGCGGGCCACACGCAGTCCATCCAGAGAAAGCAGCTTTCACCTTGCGAGCTCGGAACGCCTGGTGACAGGGGACTGCCCACTGCCAGGGGAGCGCAGGGCTGCCTTCTCAGGCTCTCGGAGGGTGGACGACAAGGGCAGGTGGTGGCTCA